TAATAATATTATATGTGTGTGTGTGACGTATAATATACAGTAAGTATGTGTAGTATTCGATTTGTATATAATATAATAATATATTCGATGTATGTACCTACTTATATTATTTGAGTATGTGTAAGACTGCGTGAGTGTATGATGTGTGTGTTGTGTGTGTGTGATGGTGTGTACGTAATACGTACGTGTGTATATATACCATTGTGTATATAGTCTGTATATAGAAATATTATATAGATAATATGCTGAGAGTTGTAAACTGTCTGTAAACTGRTTGTGTTCTGAATATTATATATATTATGATATTATAATATGTATGTATGTTATTGGAAATATGGTCCGAGTGTGTCGGCGGAGGTACCGCTAGCGGATGGGGAAAACTAAACGGTGATAATAATATCATATGACGTATTAATGACAATAATGATAAAATAATAACGACGAAATTATAATATTATAAGAACTATTATTGATAATATATATATATGATCCTTTTATTTTTTAATTTATTTGACTAGGAGAAACTCACCACACCAAAAAAAAAAAAAATAATAATAATAAAATAAATAAAATAAAATAAAATAAACTAAAAATAAAAATTAAGCTATAGATAATTAATAATTGGAATAATGTGAGATCACGTGAGTGGGGGGAGGGGGGGAGTTTTTGAACGCCTTAGCAGGCAAGTTAATTTTGTTTAGAAATTKTTTTGTTTGTTATCAAGTGCTATAAAATTGTGAAATAACAATATAACCTAACCTATAAACATTGATGTAAAATTAAAAATAATAATAGGTACATAATAATCATAATGACAATAATGACAATAATGATAATAATAATAATAATAATAATGATAATAATAATAATAATAATAATAAAATGGGTACCCCGTGTGAATAAAATGTAGTTTTTAACAATCAATTAATATATATAAATAATATGTTGTGTACATTAACCGACCCATCGCTGGGGCAATAATATCTCTACTATACATCGTAAAATTGGTTTTTTTTTATAAATAAAAATTGGTGGGTCTCTTGTTCCCTATATACATTTAGACTATTCCATATATATACAATTTCAATATTTAAGCGATTATAATTTTGCTTTTTAAAATATATATATATATATATAATTATATAAAAATAAAATAAGTAATGATAAATTCAAATTTTTTGTACAACATAATATTATTATTTTTTCTTTGTACAAAGAGACCGCCCTTAATGTTTTATAAAAATATTTGGAAACCCAAAAGTAAAACATAATGAATGTTATAAAATTTGTTTTCAAAATGACTGTACACAACAATGCATAATATAGAATATAATATAACCCATCACAAAAACTCAATGTTTTGAGCTTTCATTTTTCTCATTGAAAACGATAATATAATTATTAAATTTCTTAAAAAAAAAAGCACAGTTTACAGACGCGATGTCGAATGCGTGTATATAACGTAGTATTATATATACAAATATATATTATATATATTGTGCGTACACACACACACATATATACATATACATGATGTATACATATAATATTATATACCGTTTATTCGAGCTGTTCGAGGAAGTTCGGAGACCTGAAGTACTCCGGGACGGTGTCGTCCATGCGAGAGATGACCTTGTAAATGGATTTTTTCCACGACTGTTCCGTGTCCTTTCCGTTCTGGATGGCCACGAAAAATTCGCGCAACGTTTGCTGGACCACATACTCGAAATTGCTAGGTGCCTGAGACAAAAAAAAAAAAAATAGGAAAAATAAAAAACCAGAACCACATCACACCGAACACGATAAATATATTGTATAATATAATGATTATAGTAAATCTACATATTATATAAACGATTAGGTTCGACCGGTCGAGCGATATGCCTGCAGTATAGTACACCTTTGAGGTTTAAATAAAATCATTTAAATTTTAAAACTATTGAACACCGCACGATTTTGATATATATTATACAATATATATGAAAATATTCGTATAACAACAGTACTGCGCGTGGTATTGCAATCGTTGTCAATCCGTTCGATTTTAATCAAACACAGTCATCAATACAGTCGAATACGACGATGAGTGTGGTGCATAATGTGTACACTATCATCGACCAATAATATTATGATATGTTCTAATAATATAATATGATGGCCAAAAAATTGTGTTGGGAATCTCGAAAGAAATAAAGAAAAAAAAAATGTCCGGTATAATTTACCGGTTCGGGTGTACCGCAATATATACACTCGTTTTTGTGATGGCGGCAGAGGCATACCTCAATGTGGTTGTTGCGGTTGTAGTGCAAGTTGAGCACCCTGTAGATCTCGCTGTCCTTGTTGACGTGTATGTCTTCGGATCTCTGCAAACCCTCGCTGACGGCTTGCCTCGCGTATTTCTCCATCTGAATGTAATAGAACTCTCTGTCGGTAGCAAAAAAACAGAAAAAAAAAAGGACACGATTAATAATGTATAATATCGCTATCGCGGTATGATAAAAATTTAAAATAATAATTAAAATCGGAGGATTGTGTATGCATTATACTACGCATATACATATAAATGGCACACTCGTCTCGAGCACGCATCGGAAACATCGCGGCGAAGTGCATTTTATAACGTATTATTGCTATAATATTGTCATCGTCGTCGTCGTCGTCGACGTCGACGTCGTTATTATTATTATTATTTCGAACGTTGTACGATGTGTTGCGGTGAAGAGACTAAGCGGGCGCTAGAGAGTTGTATACAATAAAATAATAATAATATTACGGTAGGTATGTTATATATTTTATGTTTTTCTATAATATTATTTATATTACAGCCGTCGTGTGCATCTCGATTACGATGATGCTAATAATAATAATAATAATAATATTGAAATCAGCGGATCGAGTCGATTCGAGTGCGGTGCACAATACGGCCGTACCTATATATTACAAGCATATTGCGCTTTTCCGAAACGCTCGCACTCGATAAAATTTAATATGATACCGTATTATATGGTGTTGTGAGTGTGTGCGAAATTATATAATAGACACGTGCGCGTAAAATAATATAACATGACGTGTATGATGGGCGGTAGATGTGTGTAGGCATAATGTATAGTGGCGAAGAACAGCCCCGCCGCGGTTAGAAGACGGAYGGGGATGTTATGTTTATACGCCTTTCGTATTGCAGCAATAGTGTGCACGAATTACGAGTGTAATGATATTTTAACAATAATAAATACGATGATGGTAATAATTATTTAATATATAGTATATGATGTTGATATTGCGTACTGTATATATTATATATAGGTAAACGGACGGCAGCGGCGGCGGCGGCGGTGAGAAGCCAATCATTTCTATAAAATATATTATGGTGCAGGGGCGGGGTAGATGCTCGTGCGCGGTTAAAACAAAAATTTTCCGCCGCCGTTTTCACATCGTGCAAAGAGATTTATTATGAATTATTATCATGTGTGATATATATATATATATATATATTACTATTATGAGTGTGTATCCGCACCCACCCATCGCCCTTCGCACGGCGTACACATTGTACGTAACGAGGTTAGGTTAGGTTGGGTACCTACCAATGAATGCGGCGATGTGCGTACTCCCCCCTCCCCATTTTGACATGGCTGGTTAAGTCAAGTCGGTGGAATAGATTTGAAAAAGTTTTGATTTCTAATGGTTTGATAATTTTTTTTTAAATTTAATTCCACCGAGTTAAATGTCACAAACAACCTACAACAAACTTATACTGCAGCTCGAATTTGAGTTAGTTTCATTATAACATTTAAATTTAGTCAATGATGGACGGCTTAAAATTAAATAAGGTTGTACCGACATCAAAAATAAATAATTAAATTAGACAGTATTTTGGTTAGGTAGCGAGAAGTAAATTTAAGAATTAGATTTTTATTATTTCCCATCATCATTTATCTCRTTGATAATTATTTATAAATAAACGTAACTATTGAACTTGCAGGTTGAAAGCGACTCGTTATTTATTAAAAGTAAACATCAATGTGGATAAGAATTTGAGCTGATAGAAATTTAATATAAAAAATGTATAAACATACATAGTTGACATTTTCTCAATTTGTCAACTAACATTTTTAACTCGTTTAAGCCCATCATCATTGCCTTATTTTAACCTCCGCAAACGACGTTAAAACTTATTATTGTYATTTWTTTTTTGGTTTCCGTACCTAACGAAACGTTATATTTTGTTCCCCCGTCGAATTCGAAACGTCGCGCGCTTTATATTATAACGAATTTATTTTACATGATATTATTTTATATGCCGTTGTCGTAATAATAATCGCGTATGATTATAATGTTATACTCGTCTCGTTCGCGATGTCACCATATCTGCAGCGGCGTGTGTTTAATACGCTTATTAATACATTACATTGTAAACACGACCTGCACTTAATGGATGGCCTAACACGATTTACACACACGTGAATACGCGTTTAATATAAGAAATAGACAATAATAAGTGGAAAACGCCGTACGATCGTATTGTTAATATTTATATGCAACACTAGCATTGCGCGTTAATTAGGCGACCGATTCAAAAGAAATATATAAAAAAAAATATGTTAAATAAAGCGTTAAAATTCATCTCCTCGGCACCGACCCATTCCACGTCGCATAATAATAATGATAGTAATAATAATAATATGTATACGGCAAGGAAACGAGAAATAAACGAGATCATATAATATTATATTGTGATCATGCACATGTCGTATCGCGCGTTTCGCCATTTTTTTTTTGCGCCGACGATATTCCCGCGACAGCTCATCCCGTCCTTCGAATAATCATAATAATACAGTAAAAGTAAATACCTACAATATTATTGCTGTGTGCAAGTAAGTGTGAGCACTGAGCAGCACACTCACATTCGCGCGCGTATTTTATGTATTATATTATAACATAGGTATACACGTGTATTGTACACACGGAATTAAAATAATATAATATATTATAATTATTTACGTATTATGTCAGGGGGGTGGATGGGAGGGCAAACACTTAAAGCAGGTGCTTTACAAAAAAAAAAATATATATATATATATATTAATTTAAAAAAAAATGGGACGTGGCCCGCATATACGTTGACGAAAAGAAAGCTGGAATTAATTTAWCACCCACATGGTTCGGATGAATTACTTTTCTTCGTGTTTTATGAACCGTGAACGTATATTATATTTACGACACAGGTATATAAGGTTTAAAAAAAAAAAATTCGCGTTTCGAAAAAAAAAAAAAAAAACGCCACGACGACCATCATCCTCTTCCGAACGATTACTACATTATCAACAATTATATAATAGCAATATTCACTACGCTTATAGGTACCAGATAGGTGTTGGACAAAAATTTGTGGTTGCTTACCTGAAGTTTGAGAACCACTTGACTAGTTGTGCGGTGTTGTTCTTGTTGAACTTGATGTCGGGGAAGTACATCTTCAGGATGGCCGAGCTCGGGTAMCGGACCCAGAAGAACATCAGCTTGGCTTTTCGCAAGTGCATCGGTGTCAGGGTTGACGAGTAAACATAACAGTTAGGGAAAAATCGTATTCTAATTTTCTCAAATAATCATAAACATATAATATACATAATAATCRATACACAATAATATTATAATAATCTATTGCGTTTTAGTGCAGTTACGCTGCAGCAGACCGGTTAATCGTCGTCGTCATTATTATTATTATTATTATTATTATCTAATTATTATCGTCAACATCGTCGTCGTCGTACGATAGACTTACACGCACGTTCGAATTTAAAACGGTATCGTTTTCAAATCTTGGCGACGGTTAATTCGATTAATCGCGAAAGTTTCGTTTCTTTTGTAGGTCTTCCGAGCGTGTTTGTTTAATACATTTTCCTGGGGCTTCCCCGTGGCCGCCGCGTCCCGAAAACCTCCCCGTTGTACGTTGTAAGTGTCGGGTTCCCTGTAGTTTTTACCCGCCTWTTTTAGCTTTTTTTTTTTGAATGTTTGGAAAAAACGATCAACAAGAAAGAATGATGTACTATAATATACGATTTTATATTTATAATATAATATTATCAACAATTATTTTATATGTTGCTCACTCGTGGCGGCGATTTAAACGGGGAAGAAAACAACCCCCATATGTCGTCAAAGAACTTACGATCGGKTTTTTTTTTGTCTGACATGAAAGTATTTTATTTATTAGAAATCCCATCACGATAATTTGTCGGGAACACGCGAATCACGTCACGTCGTTCCCCGCAAACAACTTCTTACGGAATATATTATATCATATTTAATATTGCATTAACCACAC